TCTTATAGATTTGTAGATTTTCATGTTTCAAAATTAGCTCTTTCTCTGCAATATGAATTATATTTTCCCTAGACTGTCATTTATGTTAGCTTTTGCTTATATTTTTTACCATGCATACTTTTTACGTTTTTAATCCATATTTAAATGCATCAGACTTTTTTTTTTTAGGACTTCTGCGTTTTGTTTTCATACTCAGAAAAGTCCTCTTCATTCCAAACTATTTACTGCTGTGGTATTCTTGCCAAAGATGCATACCCTCAATCCAAATGGAGAGACATTCGGCAAAACCACTCACCAGGACTCTCCAAATGTGTCAAGATGGTGAAAGGCAGAAAAAAAGGAACCGAGGGACCGTCTCAGGTTGAAAAGCCTAAGAGTGACAAGCAAATGCGATGTGAAATCCTGATTTATTTATTTATTTATTTATTTATTTATTTATTTAAAAGATTTTATTTATTTATTTGACAGAGAGAGAGAGAGACACAGCGAGAGAGGGAACACAGCAGGGGGAGTGGGAGAGGGAGAAACAGGCTCCCCGCTGAGCAGGGAGACCCATGCAGGGCTCGATCCCAGGACCCTGGGATCATGACCTGAGCGGAAGGCTGATTTAGAGGCTGAGGCAGAAAAGGGGAATTAGTGGGAAAGTTGGCAAAATTCACATCAGAGCTGTCGATGATGTCATAGTATGGCAACAACGCTAATTTCCTGGTTTCCATAATCATGACGCAGCCACGCAAGATGTTAACATCTGGAGGAGCTGGGTGAAGGCTATACAGGAGATCTGTACCATTTTGCGACTTTTCAGTAGGTCTGAAATTAGTCAAGATAAAAGGTTTAAAATGTCAAGTTTTCTTTCAGTCCTTTTATGCTTGTATTTTTTTACACTGTCACCTTTGATCTATTGGTAATAGTGGTGTAAGGTGTTGATCCATATTTTCCCCCCAGATGGCGACTCAATTTTCTAATAACCTTTATTGACTAATTTTCTTTCCCCCACTGGCCTTTTATTTTTAAATTTATTTAACTTTTTTTTCAAAAAATTTATTTATTTGTCAGAGAGAGAGAGAACAAGCAGGGGGAGCAGACAGAGGAAGCAAACTCCCCGCTGAGCAAGGAGCCCGACGCAGGACTTGATCCCAAGACCCTGAGTTCATGATCTGAGCCGACACTTAACCAAATGAGCCACCCAGACGCCCCAAATCATCTATTTAATTTTTAAACTATCAGAAATACATAAAATTTACCATCTTAACCATTTTTAAGCATACAATTCAGTACTGTTAAGTACATTCATGCTATTTTACAACCAATCCCCAGAATTCTTTTCATCTTGCAAAACTGAAACTCTCTACCCCGTCAACAATTCCTCATCCCCATCCCCTCAGCCCCTGACATCCACCATTCTACTTTCTGTCTCTATGACTCTGACTACCCTTGGTACCTCATAGAAGTAGAATCAAGCAGTATTTGTCTTCTGTGACTGGCTTATCCTGGTTGACGAGCTAACTTCAAAATAAAAATGAAAACCTATTTCTGATGCTAACTGGCAAAGCCTCTGGTGTGGACTAAGAGACGGAAAGTTGAAATGCTTGTAGTACCTACTTCTGGAGTTTGGGTGAAGGAAGTTAGGCACAGAGAGGTTAAGTGACCTGTTGCCAATCACACAGCCAAGAAGGGGAGGGACACTTTGAACCCTGGACGGGCTCCACAGCTTGCTCCCATGGTCTTTGCCCTGGACTAGGGCTCACATAAGAGAGCCTACACTTGGAAACCAGCAGCATCTAGATTTGTTTGAGGACAAGAGGTGGGTGAAGCCATCCAAGGAACTGCTGATGAATGTTTAACCAGCTATCCAGGAGCGCCTGGGTGGCTCAGTCGGTTAGGCGGTTAGACCTGCCTTTGGCTCAGGTCATGATCCTGGGGTCCTGGGATTGAGCTCTGAGCCTTCAGCAGGGAGTCTGCTTCTCCCTCGCCCTCTGCCCCTCCCCTGCTTGTGCTCTCGTGCACACACTTTCCCTAACAAATAAAATCTTAAAAACAAAAAACAAAAAACCCACCACCAGTTCTCCAAAAATAGTATGCATTTATAAATGGTTATTATAAATCTTACTGAGTCAAAGGATGTGTAACACAGGATTTACAAACAATAATAAAACATACAATATTATTTATTGTAAATTCTACTCGTATTCATGACTTCATAGATGGAGTTGTGTCCCAACTCCAGGGGTATCTCCAGTATGAATGTTGGTTGATATTTTTATTTACATTTTTGAGTAAGACAAAAATGAAACATTGAGAATATGTTGAGACTTCACTCATTCCTCAGTGACTTGACAAACTTCTTTGCTGAATCTGACAATAGTTTTCAACATCTGGGGGGATATTTCCTCCATTTTGTGTGCTATTCACAATGTAACAGACGTGACGTTTTTAAATTTAATCTGCATTATTAACATTTTCTCCATCATCTTCTGAAATCTAGACAATCAACAAAGCCTGATATGTAGCGTTTGCCAATTTCTGTGGTATAAATCCTCCTACCAAGGCCAAATTCAAAATACCAACTTGATATCTATATGAGGTGGGAAGAGAAACACAAGTAGTAGCCAATCCTCATATAGCACTCCCACCATACAAATACAATAAATGTAAATAAGCTCGAGAGCACATAATAGTAAAATGTAGAAAATAGGAACCTGAAACTAATGGAACATGTGTGTCAACTGTACTCAATAAAAATAAAATTCTTACAAACTAAAAAAAGAAGCAGAGGGAGCCTGGGTGGCTCAGTTGGTTAAGTGACTGCCTTCGGCTCGGGTCATGATCCTGGAGTCCCAGGATCGAGTCCCGCATCGGGCTTCCCGCTCAGCGGGGAGTCTGCTTGACCCTCTTCCCTCTCGTGCTTTCTATCTCTCATTCTCTCTCTCTCTCTCTCAAATAAATAAAATCTTTAAAAAGAAAAAAAAAATAACCAGGAAGTAATGAGTTTTGAGTATTACCTCTTTTTTTTAAATTTTATTTTATTTAAATGAGTATTACCTCTGTTTCTAAATATAATTTGTGAGTTTACATAATTTCTGATAATAGCTGTGGTGCAAGAGCCCACAATGTTTCTGAAAAACAAAAAGTCGGCTTTCCCAAATCATCGAACCACACCAATGGGTGCGGGTGACAGCCAGATTGCAGTGGGATGGGACCTTCCTGAGCGGCCTGTCAGCCCGGCCGGCAATGTCCACCTTCCTTGGCCTCGGCAATCTGCCCCTCTACCTCTGCTCCAGCCACACTCTGGGACCTCACTCCCCCACCTTGGGCAAAGTAGTCTCTACTCCCAAGCATCTGCAATCCTCCCCTGGGGCACTTACCACAACGTGTTGTGCAGTTACTCTGGGAGTAGGGGACAAGTGTTTGTCTTCGTGAGCCACAGTATCTGTGATGGCTGAGGCTGAGCATGGATCCTAGTCACCACGATTCCCTCAGTACCCACCACAGTGCTCTGCAATAAGTATTTACTGAACACACGCTCAGGATGAAGGGCTGAGGGGACAAGAGTGTCGGGAAAGGTTCTATGTGTGTGAGACACCACCTTGGATGCCTTCTGCTTATTTAGGATGGCGTGGGCTCCACTTCCCAGGGCTGAAAAATATAGAGAAACTTCCCGATTCCCTAAGAAATAGGAGCTTGAAAACACTCATCCTGGGACAGGGCACCCTTCAGACGACTGGCGCGTCTACACAACGCCCAACAGTGTATGTCAGTAACTTCCCTCCGTGTGCATGCAAACAGAGCTGGGGGGTTCTCACCAAACCCCTTATACCCCCACAGGCAAGCTGTACCCCGATTTCTGAGCAGGAGGTCCTTCCTGCCACGGAGAGAAGAGAAAAGTTCGTGACACCAAGCACAGAAAGACACGAACGAGGACTTCAGACACACGTCTGTTCTCCACAATTAACTGGGATGGTGGGGCTCAGAAATAGCGGAGACCTGACACCCACCACTGACGTATGCTCCTGGAAAGATAAAGGCGGCGACCATAAAACGGGCCGGAACTAGCACATCATGGTTCACCCACACCACCCGTAGAGAAACACCACCCCCCTAAAGACCAAACACAGTTAAAACGGGGGGAAAAAAAGGAAACACCAAAACACAAACACAGTTAAACCAGAGAAACGGACCCAGACACCAAATATCTGCTCATTTTTACAAACGCAAGGAAAAAAAAACGCTGGATCGTCAGAAAGAATCAGACAGGAGCGACCAGGGTGTTGCAAGTCCCAGCCACGCAAAGACGCTAATCACGCATCATGCAAACTCCAATCATCATATTCCGATCTGCCCTCCCAAAGGAGGAACAGGTAAGGATTATCCTACCTGACGATAAAGACACAATTCTGCGGATTCCTTACTCAGGGCGAAGGATGCCGCTTAGGGCTAGGGTGAGTAAATAACGCGCTAGCCCCAGCAACCTGAAATTATCGAGGGTCTTCCATTCTATTGCTATATGTATTTACAGATATTAAAAAACATTCCCCCCCCCATTTGGCTGCCAAAAGAAAGATAAAACTAATCCCTCCCAGAATGCCCCACTCACGAGCTTGGCACCCTAACCGCAGACACCACTTGTATTTACATATCCCCGCCTACTTCCTTCCGCCAGACGCTACCGTAATGACCAAAATAAAAGCGAAACCTAGGATCTTACAGTCTGCAAGGCTGGAAAACAGCCTTCCGTTTCTTTCTTTCTTCTTCTTCTTTTTTAAATATTTTATTTATTTATTTGACAGAGAGACACAGCGAGAGAGGGAACACAAGCAGGGGGAGTGGGAGAGGGAGAAGCAGGCCTCCCACGGAGCAGGGAGCTCGATGCGGGGCCCGATCCCAGGACTCTGGGATCATGACTTGAGCCGAAGGCAGATTCTTAAAGACTGAGCCACCCAGGCGCCCCAGCCTTCCATTTCTTTAGTAGTTTGTCCACCCCAATTCTCCCCTAAACGTTTTGTAAGTCTTGATCTTACTCTAAAATATATTTTATCACAAAGTACTAAATAAAACGCTGATCATCCCAGACTCGAGTGATAATTACCCTAACAGGAACACTGACATCCTCCACCAAATGCAGTAAGGCGGAGGACTGAAGACGGCCTTTCTTGTTCCGCGAATGGTGAGTGGTCCCTTGATCCTCCAACCTTCAATCCTATGCTCCCGTCATGAAGGTATCAGAAAGGTTTCTTTTTCAGCCCAAAGACGCTGACGAATAATGCCATTTCAGTGATAGCTGGGAGGGCACTGTGGACAGTAGGTGGTGAGTTCAAGGATCCTTCCAAAAAAAAAAAACAAAACCCAAATCCCCAAACCAGAGACTCCACTCCAAAAGTGTAGGAGAGGGGGACTTCAAGAGACTATGCTGAGAGGCATGTTGAGTGGATCTGCTATATCCCACAGGGAGGATATCCTGGATATGCCTTGGATGGGGGGAACCTTCAGATTGAATAAACCTTCCTCCCCCATCCCCAAACATTGGATGCTACCATACCTGCAGAAGACAAAAATGTACCAGTACGTGGTGCACTCCCAACGCTCGAATATGAAAAAGGACAGGGCCACAGATGCACTACAGTGAGCCCCAATGGCTTGGGAATGCACCAGAGTCAAGGAAAGCCTTTGGTTCAATAGGTAGTGATAAGCCAGAAAAGGCTGTTGCTGGGATGGGCATCTGCACTCAGGTTCACCCCTAGCTCCCTCACCATACTGCAACGGCAAGAGCCCGCAGCCCTGACTTCTCTGAGTTTTAGGACAGCCATGTGAGTAGAGACCAGACAGAGCTGGGCCAGATAGCCATATAGCCGGTATCTAGAGGCTAGCCTGGACCCTTCAGATCCAGGAGTAGGCTCCCCTTCTACCCCAGGCACACAAGAAGGCTCACAGTGACTTGATACACTGCTGGAATCATATGCAGCGCCCCGGTCCTTCCATTCTACAATTCGAGCGTCAAGGGCCTTCCCTGATCCATCTTCCTCATTTCTGTCTTTCTCGTTTATTTATTTATTTTGCTGTCTCTTCTGAGTTTCCATAGTGCTTCTTCATATCTTTACATGCTCACACTGAGTTACAGACGTCTGAGTATCTGCCTCTTCCTCAAGGTGGAAAACTGTGTTTTACTCCATTTGGGATCTCCACTGCCTGGTGCATGGCGGGACCTTAACAAACTATTGAAGATCGTATTAAAACTTCCACATTGCCTAAGAAGATCTATCAACTGGAGAGACTGTTTGCCCCCGCCAGAGCACACACACCATCGTGCCGGAAAAGCCGAGTTAGGTGGCTGGAGAGAGTCGAAATGGAAACGGGCCATGCGTAAAAGGATACAGATGAGGCTCTGAGTGCTGTTGAACATGGAAACTCCGGAGAAGAAACCCGCCAGCTCCACAGCAAAGAGGCCCAGGGTGACGGAGAGCGCTACCACCAGCCTGAAGAGAGGAAAGAGGCTGGCTCAGGCCTCCTGGACTTCTTCAAAGACCCCTCCACTCCCGCTACTGCTGAATTCTGACCACCCTGCCCCCCAAGTGCTCACTGAATGTCCTGCTTCTCATACTCCTCCTGGGTGAACGTGAGAGGCAGGCAGGCCTGGATGTTGCTGTCCTGGGGAGCAGGGCAGAGAGGAAGAAAGTGAAAGAGGGGCGGGCTGCGGGGCAGCACTGGGGTCAGAGGGGGATGGGAGGACTCGCCCCCGTGAGGTCGTGGGGAAGGGGCGCGGAGGGGCTGGGAGCACCCGTAAGGTGGGATTGGGGTGGGCGGCGGGAGGGGGGTGGCCGTGGGTCTTACCCGGGACCAGAACAAGGTGATGACGACCACCAGATGCGCCAGGAGCGTCAGGAAGCGAGAGGGCACGAGCCCCGAGATGCGGCCCATGGCCCCCCGGGGGCAGGGGTGCCGACTGCAGCGGAGGCCGCGCTCTGCGGGGCTGCAAGCTCAGGAAGGGCCACTCCTCAAGTCTCGCGGGCTGGCAAGCAAAAATTCCACGGACGCCTCCTTCCCGCTCGCGCCGGCGCCGCCCAGTTGCCTTGGCAACCGCGTCAGCGGGGGAAGCGGCCGCATCTCGGAAAATCTCGCGAGGGCAGTCAATTCTCGAGCGGCGGCGGCGGCCTTGGTCTGTGGTGCCGCGCCAGTCGGGGGTGGGCCGCGAGGGGCGTCGTGCCGCCCTCGGTCGCCGCCGCGTGGCCCGGGAGGGCCCTCCGCCCGAGGTGCTCGCCAGAGACCAATGTCCCCGCCACGCCGGTCTTAGGGCGCCGGCGGGCCTGAGGCAGGGACACTCTCTCCCTCCTCCGCCTCCTTGTGGCTCCCCACTGCCCTGGGCCCGAACAGACGCGGGAACGAAACGCGGAGACGTGGATGCCCCTGCATTGTTCGGCTGTCACTTATTACATGGTCACGGGGTCCCTGATTATCCGAGGACCCCGGACCGGAACCTTCCTTGATTCTCTGACACCACCTCCCCCGCCCCCCACCGAGTCCCCAGACGACTTTGCTCCGATTGGCGAGGGAATCGCAGAGGGCAGAAAATGGCCAGCTCTCTACGTGGATGAGAGGCGCGTTTGGAGAAGGGAGTGGGTGACCGGGCGGAAGGGCAGGGAGCCCTGCTCCCCTGGGAGGCAAGGAGCGGGCGGCGACGCAGACTCAGCTCTGATTTCATCTCTCCGAGGTGTGGGCACCCGACTTGGCCCAGCTGCGGTCCAAGAACCTCTATCAGCGTCCTCACTGACCTTGGGTCCTCAGCTGGGATCCTTGCAGAAGGGAAAGTTCTCGCCCGAGCTCCCTGCTCCCGGGTCAGGTCACAGCGTCCCCAGGACCTCCCCGGCCCATTTACCAGATCATCTCTTCCTCCTCTCCACCCTAGTGCTTTTAGGCAGGTCTAAGCTAACCACGCACGCCCAGGGGGCATTTCTGATTTCTAAATCCATTCGACAAATATCCGTTGACCAGCTAGCAAGTGCTGAGCTCCTGTTCTTGACAAGACAGAAGGCTCTACCTTCCTGGAGTTTATATTCTAGTCAGGGAGATTGACATGGACAGCAAACATGCGAACAAATAATAAATTCGCAGGGTAAGAGGTGCTATAAATATATTTTTAAAAGGGAGACGCTAGAATAACAGATCGAGGAAAGACCCTCCGAAAAATGAGTCATTTAGTCTTCCAACTTTGTTGTAGGAAATGTCAAAATTGAGAGGAAACGCATTTCTCTGTTTGAGGACCCCAATATAATAGATAGATTTCCTTTTTCTAAACCCGTGGGTAAAAAAATTCAGAACTCAAAGAGATAGCAAGGAGGTGTTTGTTCAAGGTCATGAAAGACAAAGACTGAATCTCTTCCAGATTTAGGGAGATTAAAGGGATGTGACAAATTTGACTTGAGAAATATCATGGATCTTGGACCAGAAAAAAACAAAAACAAAAAAACCCACTTTCTTTTACTGCGAAGGACACCAGTGGAACAATTGGCAAATTGGAATAAGATCTCTAGTTTAGATATCAGTATTATCCATGTTAATCTCCTGATTTTTGATAATTCTACTGCCTTTATGGAAGAGAATGTCCTTGCTAGAAAATACACACTATTTTAGGGGTAAAGGAGCATTATGTCTGCAATTTACTCTCAAATGGTTTGGAAAAATATGTGTCTATAGAGACAGACAGGCAATGTTAGAACAAACATGGTCTCGAAGGCACATGGGAATTCTCTGTATTATATGTATATGTATATTTTTAAAAAGATTTATTTATCTGAGGGGCACCTGCGTAGCTCAGTCGTTAAGCGTCTACCTTCAGCTCAGGTCATGATCCCAGGGTCCTGGGATCGAGCCCCACATCGAGCCCCACTTTGGGCTCCCTGCTCAGCGGGAAGCCTGCTTCTCCCTCTCCCACTCCCCCTGCTTGTGTTCCCTCTCTCGCTGTGTCTCTCTCTCTGTCAAATAAATAAATAAAATCTTCATTAAAAAAAAAAGATTTGTTTATTTGAAGCGGGGAGGGCCAGACGGGGAGGAAGAGAGAGAATCTCAAAGCCGACTCTCTGCTGAGCGTGGAGCCCAACAGGGGCCGGATCTCACAACCCAGAGATCATGACCCATGAGATCATGACGGGAGCTGAAACCAAGAGTCAGACGCTTAACCAACTGAGCCACCCAGGCGCCCCTTATATTCATTTTTTAAGTAAGCTCTACACCCAACCTAGGGCTTGAACTCCCGACCCCTGATCAACAGTCACGTTTTCTATGGACTGAGCCAGCCAGGTGCCCCTCTCTGTATTATTTTTGCAACTTTTTGGTAAACCAGATTATTTAAAATAGAAAGTTTTAAATGATAACCCTTCCTAAGGTTTCCTTCTGGGTCTTCTATAATATCATTGAGACATTAAATTGCTTTATAAAAAGAAGGAATGATTTCTGGATTGGTGGTCCCTACATGTTAAACTCCTATATACTGAAACTATGCAGTGACATTTTCCCATAAAACCACCTCTTTAGAGGGCAGTACAGCCTTAATCTCATAATGGAGACAATGTGGTCCCAAAACCCATAAAATAAAAAATGCAATCATTTAGACTTTTCAGAGGAATTACTTGTATAAAGAGTGAGATTCAGCCAAGTCTCTGAATTTTTTTACTCCAAAAATATTGGATGGTAATCAAATATTACCCTCACGGGTTTCTGAGTTCTCAGGTGTGTAGGGAGATTTTCTCTTTAACTGTTGAACCGTTTTAAAGTTCTGAAAATGTTTTCAAACCTCCGCCACCTCAGGAGGACAGGAGAAGTACAGTGGACCCCACTGCTTCTCTCCCTGGAGGTGAGTGACCCTCATCAGTATGAGACCCTCAAAACAAGTGACAGTGTTGACATCTTAAATACAATGAGAGGTGGGCTCCATGTGCTCTCCACCATGGAAAGCACAGCATAGCACGTGCGAAAACATTCTGAGCACGCAGATAAGATGCAAGGACTGAAGGGCTCCCCCCTCTGCCTATAACTCCTAAGACTTTGCTCCTGGGAACGGGAAGCCCAGGCTGTCAGAACCAACCTCCCCCAGTGACAGTTGATCAAGTGTGACTATTCACAGATGAAAGAAACACTGTCATCTGTTGGAAGTGAGCAAAACCCAGGACCTGTTTTTGCAAGATTTTCCAAGGTCCCAGAACAAATAGAATGAAGAGAAGGAGTCAGCCAGCCGTGTGAAGGTGTGGGGAAAGAACTTTCCAGACAGAGGCACAGCAAGGGCAAAAAGGTCCTTAGGTGGGAACGAGGCCAGTACGTTCATTGAACAGAAGGGAAGCTAGTATGTCTGAAGGCTAGTAACAGCGGGGGGTAGAAGAGAAGAGGGTGGGGTGGGGTGGGGTGGGGGGGGGTGGGCAGACACGGTGCATGGCCTTGCAGCCAGGGGGAGGGACCTGGTCAGGTCTGTATTCTAGAAGATGACTTTGGATGCGATGTGGAGAATCGATTTTGAAATGTTAAGTAGCAGGCTTACGAAGAAGCTGCATAGTGATCCCAGGACAGACAGAATGAGATTGGACCAGGGTGGAATAAAGAAAGCGGAGCAAAGTGTAAGGAATCAAGAGATCATTAAAAGATAAGAAGGTCTAAACTTGGGGCTATGAGTGGATGAGAAAAGGAAGGGGTCAAGGATGACAGATTGGGCTCCCACAGCTGGAAGTGTGGGGCATTCTGTTTATAATAGGCTTCCTGCCTAGGGAACCCACTAGATAGTAAGAACTGGGTAGTCACTTTTCACATTATGAATTAATGAACAGTGAGCAGGCATTCAGGTCTGTCCTGTCACTCTCCATGATCTTGGTTCCCAGAAGCCTGTCCCACAGAGGTCACACAAACGTGTTAGAGCCACCCTGTGGCCACAGAAGGTACTGCTGGTGACCTGGCACGTCCTTCCCTAAGCGGGGTCCAAGGGCTCCAGGGCTGGAACCCACCTGTCCTAACATTTGATCTGGTCAGAAAAGCTCAGGGAAATGTTTTTTATCATGGAAAAATTCAAACATATGTAAAAATAAAGAAAATAGAAGGATGAACCCCTTCAAAGCCTGCCATTCTGCTCCAAAAATTACCAACACATTGCCAACCTTGTTTCAGCTAGATTCCCAGCTAGGTTATTGCCAAGCAAATCCCAGGCATCACCAAATAGCTCAGACTGCCCAATATCCATCATATAGACATATGACGAAGTCCACATATTACACTTGGTTGATGTGTCTCTTAAATCTTTTTTTTTTTTTTTTTTAATCTTAGGTTCTTCTGCCTTGTTCTCCCTCCTTGCAATTTCTCTGATGAAGACACTGGGCCGTTTGTGGGCAGTGCTCTGGTCCTGTCATTTCACGTGTTCCTCTATGTCCTGTGTTTTCTGTAAACTGGTTGCTAGATCTAGTGGTTGATGAATCTCACATTCGATTTTCTGGTAAATAGACATCACGGGAGTTGGCCTGTATTTCTTATTCTATCACATCAGGAGGCGCATCCTGACTGCTTGTCTCTCTTTTTTCCCATGTTAGATGTGAGCAGTGGATTCAGGTGTAGTCAGACTGAGGCAAGCATTATAAAGTTCCCGTCAGTTTTTCACCTACTGGTTTAATTGATCACGGCTGCCTAGTTTCATTATTTCAGGAGGAGTTGCAAAACAGGGATATCTTAATTGCATTGTTCCTTTCTGCATTTGTCGCCTGTTATTCTTCTATAAATAAGAATGTGCCTTCATCCACCCGGTTACCCTGAGATACAGGTCATACAGGAAAAGCTGGATACATGTGTGATTTCTTTTTCCCCATTTATTTACCGGTTTTCAGAATAATAAGTCGATTCCCTACCATCCTCCAAAAGGGACCAATTAGTTGTTTTTAGGATCATTGTGAACTGTAGATTTAACATCTTTTGTGGGTTTTGTGGGGCAGCACCTACTCGGCTTCAGGCAATTGTTTTAAGGAGATAGAAATCCAGTGTTGCCAGGTTTCTGGGAGTTTTGTTGTGGTTAGTGTTTTCTGGGGTTTTTTGTTTTGTTTTGTTTTTGCTTTTTTTAAGAGAGGCCAGAAATCCATATTCTTACTCCAGTTATAAATGTTAGTATCCAACTTAACAGTGAAAAAAATGAAGAGGGAGAAAAATACCCCTGATGACAACAGCATGCAACAGCCTCAAGTCACCAGCTTTCAGCCTCTGGATCAGCACTGTCCGACAGAACTTTCTATGACAGAAATATTTCATATTGTCTCTGTCCAATGTGGTAGCCAGCTAGCTCCATGGGGCTAATGAACACTTGGAATGCAGCTAGGGGGGCTAAGGAACTGAATTTTTAAATTTCAGCTTAATTTGAAAAGCCGCATATTGAATAGCCACCCTAGTGGCTACCATATTGAGCAATGCAGCTCTGGACAGAATAATCTATTGGTTTCTAAAACTTGGAAACTGGTGGGATAAATGGAGATTTAAACATCCAAGAATACTCTGGATGGTGGCCCTGGACTGATAATTCCTCACACCTGCTACAGAACATTTCTGAGCCTAGAACTCAAGTCCACATTCCCTGGTACCATATTCGCTGACCCAACTTCCCCTTCTAGCAAAAATTTCCACCTCACCCCATGCTCTTCAGCTACTCAGACATGTCTCCTTCCTCTATAAAGCAGGCTCTTGCCCACGTAGTGCTTTTGCCAAATCTATCCGTCCTTAATTTCACAAATGTTTATGGAATACACATTATACTCCAGGTATTGTATGGGGTGCTAGGAATACATATTTCCTTCTCCTGAGTAACTTAGAGTGTGGTGAGGGAAACAGTTAAAAATAGTACTTTAAGTGTTATCCTGGAGGAGACACATCACAGGCCTCCTCCCCTAGATGAGGGGAGAAGTAGGGAGCAGGGAGCTTTTGAATTGAGTCTTGAAGGGTATGTTAAGGGTCATCCAGATAAAGGACAGTGGCACAGAGACACGGGGCACAAAAATGAGTTTAAGGAACTATAAATGAGTCACCGTAGCTGTCTCCTGGGAGGTGAGGTGGCAGTGGTTGAAGAGTCAGGCAAGGACCACATATTAATAACAACCATAATAACTGATTTATGACCAGTGAGGTTCTGAGCACTTTATCTTGGCAAATAAACTACTAGTGATCCATCACAGTCTTTACCATTTTCCGGATGGGGACATGGACACGCAAGGAGGTTCAACAAGGAGCTCAAATCACACGACCAGTAAGTAGGAAAGCCTATATGTGAATATTGGCAACCCCCTTCCAGGGCCCACTTAATAAGTGTGTGGCCTTGGGGACCCAGCCAATAAGTTAGGACCTAATCTCGAAGGGGATGGGGCACTGGTTTTTATGTTCGCATTTTAAAAAGATGATCCTCTTTGGCTGTTTTGGAGGTAGAGACATCAGAGAGGAGTCTATTACAATAATCCAGCAAGAGAGGGTGGGGAATGAGAGCCGGCGGGAGAATTATGAAGGAAAATGGAATTGACAAGACTTGAAGACTGGGAATGGGGAGGGAGGGAGAGGGAGGAGTCAAGAGGAGACTGGCTGGGAGGGCAGAGGGAGTGGGAAGGAAGGATGCCCGAGTCAATGAAAGTCACTTCGGAGAGACGTGTGTGTGTGTGTGTGGGGGGTGTCATCTCTGTGGTCTCTGAGGACTTTGGGAGGCACTGTACCGAAAGCACAGACATTTGACTTGGAAGGGAAGGAGGGAGCCACAGCATGACCTCTTTTCTCGTGTTGGCCTGTTGAACGCTCGAGAGGCAAATGGGGGTCTCTGCTAGCTTCCAGTACCCCTCTCTGGAAGCTGCCAGCTTCATCTCACCTGGGGAGCTCTAAAACATGCTGACGTCTGTCGTGATCGAAATCAGAACAGTGGTTGCCTCTGGGAGAGGGCAGGGAGGAACTTTCTGGGGGGTGGAGGAAATGTCCTATACCTTGAATGCGTTGTGGGTTGCATTTGTAAAAATTTACCAAAACACACACTTCAGGTCTGTGTATGTCACTGCATGTAAATGATTCCCCAGAACCGTAACGAGCGACGAAATTACCCGCTGGGCTTTGAAATCAGTCTCCGAGCCGGGGGCGGGTGCTGGGGCAGGCAGGCCCCGCGGACGCCGGGAACGCGCAGCCGGGAGGAGACGCGTGGCTGCAGGAGCTGCGCTCGCGCCCCGCAGGTGCCGGGGGCTCCGGCAGCGCTCGCGCACGCTCCCTCCGCCAGTCCCCGCCGGGCTGTGCGCTCCGGGGACCCCGGGGGACAGCCCGGGGCCAGGTGCTCCGGGGCAGGACTCCGGGGGCGGGGGCCCCGCGGGACGCACGAGGCGGGAGGGACCGCGCACCCCTCACGCCGCGGGAGCTTAGGAGCTCGGGAAGGCCCTCGGCTCTCAGCCTCGATCGCCGGGACCCCGGCCGGCCGCCAAGTGGCCATGAGGAGACCTGTCCAGCCCTCCGGCCGGCCGACCTCGTGGCGCAACGGTAGCGCGTCTGACTCCAGATCAGAAGGTTGCGTGTTCAAATCACGTCGGGGTCAGCTTTATTTTTTCCCGCTAGGGCTATCCGTCACTTTTATTTATTCCCCTCCCCGGCGTGTCCACCTACCCTCGAACACCGGCGCCCAGGTCGGCGCAGCGCCTCGCAGGGCCGGGATGGCGAGCGCCCCTGGCGCCACGTCCCGAGCCGCCCCGTCGGGGGAGCCCAGATCTCGCGGGCTGGTGGGCGCGGATCCGGGTCCCGCAAGCGCGGGCTGGGGGCAGGGCTCCGAAGGACTGACGCGCGCGGCGGGTCGCTGGGTCCGGAGGGGAGAGGGTGGAGCGCGCACGGGCGGGAAGGTCGCTCGGCGACGGAGACGAGCGCGCTGTCCGCCACGTGGGCGGGTCTGGCGGGCAGGAGGACGAGTTCAGGCCCCAGAGAGAAGAGCGGAAGCCGTTCCTCAGCGGACGAGGTGGCCGAGTGGTTAAGGCGATGGACTGCTAATCCATTGTGCTCTGCACGCGTGGGTTCGAATCCCATCCTCGTCGGCGTGCGATTGTCGCAGCCGGGGTTCAGTTTTGTCATCCCAAAGCAAGAATTTCTCTTGTTACCTCCCACCTGCCCCGGTTCCGTTTCCGCGTCACCCCGGTACTCCGCGGTACCCCCCCAACCGTGGTTTTCGTCCCTTCTACTCCGTTTTCCAGGACGGCCAAAGCTTGGTTACCGGGGGGTACCTGGGCATCCACTCACCTGCAGGAGAGCTAACCTGGCCAGAGAAAGAAGGCGCCTAAACCCCTGACCGTGGGTGCCGTGGCTTAGTTGGTTAAAGCGCCTGTCTAGTAAACAGGAGATCCTGGGTTCGAATCCCAGCGGTGCCTCCGCGTTCTACTGCTTTTGCTAAGAGCCTGTGGGCATCCACAGATCCATCACCGTCCCCCCCGGCATCTACCGGGAGCCTTTGGGTGGCGCTTTCCATTCCTGACGTTTTGTGGTTGCGTGAGCGGAAGCCGTGTGCTTGTTGCCAAGCTGGGGCTCCGTATTTGCGCCCTGCTGACCCATGCCGCCGGGCACCAGCGTAGCATCTGTGCTTGCCCGGATGTTGCCTTGCCGTTACTTTCCCAGACCCTCAGTGATTCCGCCTGCATGTCGTTTTTGCGTCTCTCAGAATGGTCCTGTCCATTTCCAATTTTTCCTGAAGACAAGACCGATCAGTAATAGAAATTCTATATAGCTCCAGCCTGAAAGATGAGTGGTAACTGGCCGGTTAGCTCAGTTGGTTAGAGCGTGGTGCTAATAACGCCAAGGTCGCGGGTTCGATCCCCGTACGGGCCAACAACAGGTGTTTTTTGTTTTGTTTTGTTTTTTAACTTTGCACCGCTCTAGTTTGTTACTGGAGAAGGTTTGTGGAGCAACATTTCCAATTCCAGAACTTTTCACACCCAAAATAGAAACATGTTGAAATTCAGTCCAAGATGGCACTGCCTTGGGGGAGGAGGAGGAAGGTTTAATAAAACTAGAGTTCCTTCTGTGATCTCTATTTATAACGCTCCCGGCCATAACGTGGGGCTCCTGGAACTTACTATGTGGACAGAAGCTTGGAGACGTTGGAACCAATATGACACTGATCGGCGGGGGGTGGGAAATGGCGGTAACAAGCGTTTCCAGTCTTCCTCCTGAGTCAAGATGTCCAGTTCACCCAGCCCCTGCCTGTCCCCTTCCAGATCTGAGAAGACAGCCCCTTCCCTTTTGGTACCGGAACACCCTGTTTGTGTTTCTGCTTTTACTGGATCCCGGAGCCCAGATCTGTGTCTCTCACGTGCCCCACCTCCCGCGTCCGCCCCCCTCCCCCATCGCAGTGCTGCCTGAGAGCAGGAACCATATACCCTTGCCCATGTACTCCCGCCCGGCACCCAGCATCGGCCAAGAGAGCTCCACGAAAGAGACCGACCCTCATCCCCGCTCCTTCAGCTCACCAATCCCTGGAACCCCACACAGACACACCTCAGCCTTAGCAGCAGCACTTTAATTCCACAAAAACTCGGAAAGCCAAAACTGATTAGAACACTCCACAACAGGTGGACTTCAAAACCAGCAACAATTCTGCCTGAACCCTGAGAGCAGTGAGACCCCTCCCACCTCACCCCCTCTACCATGCAATGCATTCCTTCTAGTTCCACCCCAGTTCTGGCTGGGGAAGGGGGGATGGTAGGGGGCCAGAGGGCAGAAGCAGGGAGTTATCCATCTGCAGGTGTGCATCCTTGTCTGCATGGCCTGTGGCCAAGGACCACTCAAGCTCCCACAGCCCCTGGCACCTGAGATGTGGCCAATGGAGTCAGGGTGGCCACAGTCGGGGCTGGAGCCTCTTCTGTTCTCCTTTCTTGACCGCATATGGCAGTCATGTCTCCCAAGCCGAGACCTAAAGCCCTGGGTTCCCAGAGATGGTGCTCTCGCTGGAGAAGAGAGTTGAGAACAAGGTCGCTACAGATGGCCAACTTAATAGAAGCAGAGCATCATCCCCTCCCACCAGGAGAGGCTTCAGAACTTCCCCCATATACACCTGAATAAGGCCCAGCGAGTGGTCGCAGACCTGCTAAATGCGTCTGGAAGAGCCTCCAATACATAGGCCTCCCCTCAGCGGGCAGTTCCCACCAGGGCTCCTTGAAGAGTCCTTAGGATCCTGCTGGGCCCTGGCTTGGCCACTCCTGCCCTCCCGGTCACTTGCACAAGGCCTCCAACACCTCCAGGGTGCGTCGGATATCCCGGACTTGGCGCGCCAGCCCCTGAACTGGCTGCAGAGCCCGCTCCAGCTCTTCACAGCGCGCCAGCAGGGTGTACATGCCCTTGATGCTCATGTCCACCGCTTCGCCTAGGGAGTCCACGGCGTCGCGGTAGGTCTGGATGCAGCCCACGCTCAACGCGGTCAGCTCCTGCACCGCGCCACCCAGCCCGCGCAGCAGACGGTCCACCCTGCCGCCCAGCTCCCGACTCAGCCGCTCCAGGTCCCGCAGCACGTCGGGGTCGATGGGGGGGATGGCCGGAGTGGGCGCGGGCTTTGCACAGGGCCGCGCCGGGGCAGGGGGCGGGGGTTGAGGGGCGCCGCTCAGACGAATCTTGAGTTGCAGGTTGTTGGCCACGAAGTGGGTGAGGTCGCCATGGCGGCTCACCGTGCCCTCGAGCTCCAAGGGGCTGGAGATGGTGGCGCGGCGCCCGCCGCCCGCGCCAGGCTCGGCACCCCCTGCCGACCCGGCGCCGCCGCATGCCCCGCTCAGCCCGTCCAGGCTGCGGCTGTCCTGAAGGCGGCTGGAGAACGAGCGGCCAGCCCTGCCGGCCGCCGCCGCCTCCTCCTCCTCGTCTTCCTCCCGCGGCTCAGCCTCCATCCCGCTGCCTCCCGGGCTCCCTCGACGGCAGCCCCTCTCGGATGCAGGCTCGTCCTCCGGCGGCTCAGGGTCCTGGCACCCAGAGGACCCGTGCGGGTCGGGCTCCGGACCCGGCGCCCCCCGGCGGCTCCCCGGCGCGGACAGCGTCCCTCCGCGGCCCAGCTCGTAGTCCCGAGCCTCCCGCTCGGCCCGGTGGACGGCGCCGCGGCTCGAAGTCTTCGGGGACGCCGCGGGGTGGTGACTCGCGCCCCCAACGTTCTCGGCCTCTTCCTGCCCGGACACCGGGAGGCCTGAGGGCGGCGCAGAGGGTGCTCGGCCCAGCCCACCGCCGAAGATCGCGGCTTGCTGTTCCCCCAGAGCCAGAAGGTCCGCCTCGGGCCCAGGCCGCCCCCGGGACGACTCCATGCCGCAGTTTGGGGCAGGAACCGAGGAACTGATTCGCCCCGACTCGGGCGGCGTCGGCGGCGCCTTTAAGGGGCGTTGGTAGAGGCGCGCGATTGGCAGCCGGCTGACAATGGTCAGGACAGGAAGAACACTCTGATTGGTCGCTGTGACCAGGAAGTCCCGGAAGAAGAGCTGTTATTAGGCAGCCGAACACACGTGAGAGCCGGCGGGGCGGTGCGAAGGAGGTGACAGCTGCCCTCGTTGCTCCGCCCCCTCAGGATGAGGCGGGGCAAGTCTTAAAGATCAAGGTCCTGAAATACCCGAGTCCTCCGGGGCGGGGCTCAGACTCCTTCCACCCACAATTGTCACGCCCACAGTTGTTGCTTAGCAAACACACCCAGTGGGCACCAGAGTTGCGGCTCCTAGAGAGTTTGTGGAGGTGAAAAGAATCTTTCCTGCTTGGACCATCGGGATTGAACCAATTTAGTCCATCGGGAGGGACGCAACCGGAATCCCCAGCAGAGCACGAATGGTTGGGTCCACCATCCTCGGCTCACCGACCTGCAGAACTGCCCTGAGCGACTCACGATGGTCAATCCAGCCGGCTTAAGGGCTTTCCTGTGCTTTTGCCACTCTGTCCTCTGTCTCCGGCCCCCTCCACGTTGGAGAATCTCTCCGCTTGGAGGATGGTGTGTGATTTTGCCGCGAGATAAAATATTCAATAAACGAATGGCTCTGCACGGAGATCGGAGCCCTGGTACCATTCTTCTGATCCCAACTCTTCCTTCTCTTCCCTTCGTTGGTCTCGCTGGAGCCACACTGCTGGCCCCCTCGCTGTTCTTCTGCCTCAGGGATTTACCCTTGCTCTTCCTTTTTTTTTTTTTTTTAAGTCTGAGTCTACCAAGAAAAATTTCAACTTCACTTCCTTATTTATTCAAATATCACCTTTTCAGTGCGGCCTGCCCTGATAACCTGTTTAAAATTGCAGCCGCTTTCCCCAGCAATCCCCGATTTCCCTTCCCTTCCTTTTGTGCATGGCATATACTATATACTTGCTTACTTGCTCATGTAAGCTCCTTGAGGGTAAGGGTTTTTTGTAGGGCTTTTTTTTTTGGTCTGTTTTGATCCGTATGCGCAGTGTTTAGGGTGCCTAGCATATAGTAGGCGCTGCGTAAATATGTATTAAATGACCACAAACCATTGATTTCCTCTTTGTGACTTGAACACATTCAAGATGTGTTTCTGTCACTTGTACCCAGAGTCCTGACTAATAAACCATGAGGTCCCCCCTCTCTGGGGCTGGCCCCCCCCAACCCCGTCTTCCCTTTACCCCTCAGCAGGCAGACGTTCTTTATTCAGCAAGTGATAGAAAACACAAGTTGGACCAACACTAACGTTAAAACAAGGAGACTGCATTGTGTCATGCGATAATGGTCTCAAGACAAGAGAGAGTGTGCTCAGAGAAGCTTGGGTCCAGTGCCCTAGGACTGTCACAAAGGACCTGGTTTCTGTCTGCGGGGGCAGCGTTATCCCAAGTGCACTTCCTCATGGTGGCAAGATGGCTGCTCTTTGTCATTCTTCGGGGGTTGCACTGGTCTCCTTGGGCTGCTATGACAAAACACCATAAACTGGGTGTCTTAAACAACAGCCATTTATGTCTCACACTTCTAGAGTCTGGGAAGCCCAAGATGCCAGCTGATGTGGTCCCTGGTGAGACTCCTCTTCCTGTCTTCTCCATGTGCCCTCACAGGGCGAAGAGAGAAAGCTAGCTCTCAGCCTCTTCTTAGAAGGGACTAAATCCTATCGTAAGGACCCCACCCTCATGACCTTGTCTAAACCTAATTACGTCCAAAGGCCTCACCTCCAAATACCATCACACTGGAGACTAACCCATCAAGAGACGACTTTCAGAAGGACAGGCACCTTCAGTCCATAACGGGGGTCACTCGTCATCCTTTTTGGTCTCTTGAGATCTGACTCAATATTTAAGGACACTCCCACATCATCAGGAAGCTGAAATATCAAGCAGCCCCTCTCCTAGTTTCCCAGGCACACGGCTCTGGCTCCACCATGGAGCGCTTCTGCAGTGGAATTTTCCCTGGCTGGGCGGACTCCACGCCTGGTCCTTCTAGAGATTCCTGGTGCTCCTCCAGAGGCTGTGAATCACCCAGGATGCTCATAATAAAGTCCACTTATGCTTAAATGAGCCCAAATTATTCTCTGTTTCATGCAACCAGGACCCCTGAATGATATGCTCCCACACCTTCCAGAAGGGGAGAAAGGAATCGCTTCCACCAAAGCCCCAGTTAATTTCCCTTTACATCTTATTGGCCTAAACTGGTTCAATGTACAATTTAGTCAAAAGGTACAATTTAGTCACATTGGCCAGGGTAATACCATGTCTGACTGACTTAGGACTGAGTATCCAGGGATGACCGGGTCGCTCAGGTAAGCGTCTGCCTCTGGCTCAGGTCATGATCCCAGGGTCCTGGGATCTCCGGCGTGGGCGGGGCTCCCTGCTTGGTGGGTAGTCTGCTTCTCACTCTGCCTCTGCCCCTCCCGCACTTGTGCCCACTCACTCACTCTCTCTCTCAAATAAATAAATAAAATCTTAAAAGAAAAAAAAAAGGACTGAGTATCCAGAAGCAATCACTCTGGCAAGGTGACGAGAATCAACTTATTAGGTTAAAACAATTATGCTCCTTCTGGAGCTAGGGGTGGGTCAGTCCCCTCCAAACCCCAGTAGCTGCAACTCAGTGGGGGAGGGGGGCAGGGGCTGTCGGGGAGCAATCCTACGTTAGGGGTCAGCCAAGTATGGCCCATGGACCAGACCAGATTCAGCTCACTACCGCTTTTATTTTTTATTTATTTATTTTTAAAGATTTTATTTATTCATTTGAGACACAGAGATACAGAGAGAGAAAGCATGAGCAGGGAGAGAGGCAGAGGGAGAAGCAGGCTCCTCGCTGAGCCAGGAGCCCGATGTGGGGCTCGATCCCATGACCCCGGGATCATGACCTGAGCTGAAGGCAGACGCCCAACCATCTGGGCCACCCAGGCGCCCCTCGCTACTGCTTTTTATACGGCTTGTGAGCTGAGAATGGTTTTTACAGATTTAAATGGCTGAAAAAGAAAGGATATGAAAATTCATATAATTATATGAAATTTAAATTTCAGTGTTCATAAGTATTTTTGGAACACGGCCATGTCCATGCATCGATGAACTGTCTCTGGTCACTTTCGTGCTGCAATGGCAAAGCTGAGTAGTTTCAATAGAAGCCCGATGGCCTGTAGAGATTTCAGGATTTACCTCCCGGATTTTCCCGGATAGTTCCCTATGTCTTTCACTCCAAGCTGCTGGAAGTGGGAGCCCACCCCAGGACGGGCTCATTACTCCTGTTTGCCTATCGCTGTCAGCGGCCGTGGGTAACTGCTGGTGGTCTGACGTGACTCATATTTTCATGCATATGCACACTCTGTTCATGAAACTTTGCAATACTCTTGTTAGAACTTTATAAGAGCAGATTTGGGTCAAAGAGGCTTGTACTACCCAGTAGTAGGGAGATAGAGAAGGATGAATTTTGCTGCAAGCGGGCAAATATCTTTTTATATTTATTTATTTAAACACATGTGTTTATATTGTATTTATTTTTTTTTTAGAGAGAAAGTGCAAGCAGGGGTTTGGGGAGTAGGGGCAGAGGGAGAGAGAGAGAACCCCAAGCAGTCTCCATGCCCAGCAAGGAGCCTGACATGGGGCTCCATCTCCCAACCCTGACATCATGACCTGAGCCAAAATCAAGTCAGTCACCTGTCCAACTGAGTCAACCAGGTGCCCATAGGCAAATTGTTTTTAAAGGCCCATGTTTTCCCCGCTGCTCCATGAATACACATATTTTTTTTTGTTGCAAATTATGCAATGCCTGTATATGGAAATTCGGTATATGAAGAAGATGGTGGTATTTGGAATCAATTTATATCAAATGGTGCAATTATAAGAGATCAGCGAGTTGGACCAAAACAAAAATGAAAAAAAAGAAGATTTCAACCCTCACGTTAAAAAAATAATTTTGATCACATTTTTATTTTTTATTATTTTTTTAAGATTTTATTTATTTATTTGACAGAGAGAGAGACAGCAAGAGAGGGAACACAAGCAGGGGGAGTGGGAGAGGGAGAAGCAGGCTTCCCACTGAGCAGGGAGCCCGATGTGGGCCTTGATTCCAGGACCCTGAGATCACTACCTGAGCTGAAGGCAGACCCTTAACCGAGTGAACCACCCAGGCACCCCTTGATCACATTTTTAAATGAAAAACAGACAGTTATGAAAGAAAACAGAAGTGCATGTTTTGTTGGTTTGTTTGTTTTATAAGCTTGGGGTGACAAAGGCTTCTTAAAGTAAAACCAAAAATCAGATAAAACTATGTTAAAAGACAAATTGCAGAGAGGGAAAGAAAATATTGGTCCAGTATATGACAAACCATTAATATCCCTTGATCTTAGTCGTAAATCTGCCGAAGATGCCCAAGGACTCCTGGGTCGGTAAATTCACCAGCTCAACAAAATCACCAAGGACCCTGGTTCTTTCCATCTTTACGCTCTACCAATCACCCTCAGTCTGCCAATCTGTCTTAAAAAAAAAAAGAAATCATGTAAAAAAAATAATGAAATCATGTGTATGTAGTTCTATTCATTAAGATAAGCACACTAATCAAAAGCTATACCACATTTACAGCAACTGCAAATACAAAGATAGTGCTCTGAATTCTGTTTCTTTTTTTTTTAAATTTTTAAATAGATTTTTATTTACTTATTCGACAGAGAGAGATACAGCGAGAGAGGGAACACAAGCAGGGGGAGTGGGAGAGGGAGAAGCAGGCCCCGCGCTGAGCAGGGCTCCATCCCAGGACCCTGAGATCATGACTCAAGCCGAAATCAAAAGTCTGATGCTGAACCAACTGAGCCACCCAGGCGACCCGAACCACCAATCTTTTTGTCCTTCTCTTGTACTTTATTCTGTATCCACATCCTCTGCCTCTGATTGGATCCCTGGATTTTATTCCATTTTTTTGTGTGTGTGACATTCTCCGCAGATATATATCATTGGCGGCTGCTTTGGGGGCTGAACATCCTTTTGGGGATCCACTGAAAATCCCTCCAAATCCCAACCAGCCAATTCCCTACCCAGGTAGCCCAGAGAAAACTTCTCACGCTGCGCTTTGAAACAGATTACTGACAATCTGTCTTGACCTCAGCTGTCCCTGTGGGCACAGAATGTCTGCCACACATCCAGCCATCTCAGGAAGCAGCTTCATGTGGCATTAGCGGTGAGTAGGTCGGTCAGTGAGATCAATACCACCCCGTTGTGTTTCCAAGTCATGAGGAGACAGTGTGTGAAACTAGCAGGGCTCTTCTATCAGACTCGTTCATTCCCATGATCAGCTGGGCGCACAAAATATAAATCTAGTAAGAAAGAATCTTGCCACAGACCAGACCAGAGAGGGTTTGTAAGACTGCAAAGCTTGGTAGGTATAGGGACCGTGGGGGGAACGTAGCTTCCTTTAGGGTGCTACTCCAACCTCTCTCCTTTCAACCTATTTCACGTTTAGAAAGCGACTTCCTCGAGATTGCAGCCCGTGTGTGGGAATTTGTCTCCTGGTTGGGAATTCCATTTTCTATTCCTTTGGAAAACCCACAGTCAAGCTCCTAGGTCCTGTCTGTCTTCCTTCTTTTAGACGTTCTAGTAAGTGTGTGCTAATGTCTCAGCACGGTTTTAATTTGCGTTCCCTAATAACTAACAATGTTGAGTATCTTTTCACGTGCTTATTTGCCATCTATATATGTTCTTTGAGGAATGCATCCCCACTTTTCTATTATTTTGTTTTACATATCTTGTAAACTACTTTAAATCCTTTCTAGGATAAGACTATTTATAGTTATTTATAAATATTCATTTAATATATATATATTTATTGTATATACGTATATATACCACATCTTCTTTATCCGTTCATCTATCGATGGACACTTGGTTGCTTCCACATCTTGGCTCTTGTAAATAATGCTGCAACAAATATAGGGATGCATATATATTTTCAAGTTAGTGTTTTTGTTTTCTTTGGATAAATACCCAGAAATGGGATCGCTGGATCCTATGGTAGTTCTATCTTTCAGTTTTTGGGGTACTCTCCATGCTGCTTTCCATAGTGGCTGCACCAACATACATTCCCACCAACAGTGCACCAGGGTTCCTTCCTCTTACTCCACACCCTCGCCAACGCTTTTTATTTCTTCTCTCTCTCTCTCTTTTTTAAAGATTTTATTTATTTATTTGACAGAGAGATAGAGAGAGAGCACAAGTAGGCAGAGTGGCAGGCAGAGGGAGAGGGAGAAGCAGGCTCTCTGCTGAGCAGGGAGCCGGATGTGGGGCTCAATCCCCGGACCCCAGGATCATGACCTGAGCTGAAGGCAGCCACTTAACCGACTGAGCCACCCAGGCGCCTGAGACTACATTTTTTAATGCTATTTATACCATGCACATTACTGCACTTGAGAACAGACTATGTTATAGGGCAAGATAGGATTGTTATTTCCATCTTAAAGGGCTCATAAAGATTAAACCACTTGGCCAAGGTCACATGGCTAATGAACATTGGAGAAAGGACTAGAACTCAGTCAGGGGTGCCAGCCAGAAGCTAAAGCTCGTTCCTCCGCAGAGCCCCCCCCCACCAATCAGGCCACAATGAGGGCAGCAGACCACCTCTTGCGTCTTACCAGTGCCCACACCACCCACAGAAATGCAGACAGGCTTTCGAGAGCAAAATATCGGCCAACCTACCAGGAGGACACAACCAGATGCCCAAGGAAGAAGAGAAGTGGCTTTTCGCTTCTTTTTCCTGTCATCGTCTGTTCAGTGGGAAGGTAAGGTGATCATCAAGCTCCCAGAGTGAACAAACATTCCAAGTCAGCTGGACTCAGAGTAATGATATCTTTACTTAAAAAAAATGTCAACCAGGGGCACCTGGGTGGCTCAGTCGTTAAGCATCTACCTTCGGCTCAGGTCATGATCCCGGGGTCCTGGGATCAAGCACCGCATTGGGGTCCCTGCTCGGCTGGGAGCCTGCTTCTCCCTCTCCTACTCCCCCAGCTTGTGTTCCCTCTCTCGCTGTCTCTCTCTCTGTCAAATAAATAAATAAAATCTTTTAAAAAAAAATGTCAACCAGGCTAGCCTTCCCCCGACGCCCCAGGACACAAGCCCTTCTGTTCTCTGTAGGATTTGTCAAGTAGGATATTTGTTGTGTGGGTTGTGGGGTGGAATGTAGGGTTTATGTGGGATATGGAATTATGTCATATCGTCACATTATTTAATTAAGGGGGTGGCGCTTGCTAGAATATGTGGAATTTTCATGAGCAAGGAGATGATGCCCCTTAGAAAAGTCTCTGAGGGGTCAAGCACAGGTCACTGACCAAAGATCATGATACAGACCGCTGATTCTTCCCATGACTCAAAGGAGGCTGCAGGTGCCATTCTAGACAGAAGGAAGAGCAAGTGCAAAGGGCCAGAGGTAGAAACAAATTTGGCAATGTTCAAGGAACAGCAAGGAGGCCAGTGCTTTAGTGATGGAAGGGGTTAGAGCAGCTGGGTGCTGATCTCCAAGTAGGGAGGAGCAGAATCTCTTCAGGCAGGGACTTTTAACTCAGGTGGATGCCTGGGTCTCAGCCTAGGCTGATTAAATCTGAATTTCTCAGGCTGATAGTCCAAGAGTTCTATTTTCTCCATAAGCCCTCCAGGTGATTATGATATGCAGCCAGGGTTGAAAACGGGTAGAGGACCTTGCCACAGAATGAGTTTGGATTTTATTCCAAGAACTCTAACTTCCCATGTGGAGGACAGGCCAGGAATAGGAACAAGGAGAACAGTTAAAGAGGTTGGTGGCTTGAATCAGGGTGAGAGAAGTGCAGTTTGTGAGTAAGGGAGGTGGGGCTGAGACCCTGTGGATTTCATTGGCAGAAGGAAGGAGGGGGTTGGCAGAGAAAAGGGAGAGAAACCAGGGTTTAAAAAAAAAAAAATCTTGAGGTGCTTGGGTGGCTCAGTTGTTAAGTGTTTGCTTTCGGCTCAGGTCACGATCCCAGGGGATCGAGTCCCGCATCGGGCTCCCCGCTCAGTGGGGAGTCTGCTTCTCCCTTTCCCACTCCCCCCTGCTTGTGTTCCCTCTCTCGCTGTCTCTCTCTCTGTCAAATAAATAAAATCTTTAAAAAAAAATTAAAAAAAAATCTTTATAACATCATTCAATTGTTTTACCCCAGGGGTAAAAGAGTCTTTTTACCCCATCTGGAAAAGAGTCTTTACAGATGTAATTTAGGATCTTTTTTTTTTTTAAAGATTTTATTTATTTTATTTGAGAGAGAGAATGAGAGAGAGCACATGAGAGGGGGGAGGGTCAGAGGGAGAAGCAGACTCCCCCCTGAGCAGGGAAGCCCGGTGCGGGATTCGATCCCAGAACTCCAGGATCATGACCTGAGCCGAAGGCAGTCGCTCAACCAACTGAGCCACCCAGGCACCCTGTAATTTAGGATCTTAAGACAAGATCATCCCGGATTATCTGGGTGGGCCCTAAATGAAATGACTAGAGTTCTTATAAGTCACAGAAGAGAAGAGAGGGGAAGAGTGTGAAAAAGAAGCAGAGCTGGGAGTAGGGAAGCCTCACGCCCAGAAATGCGTGGAGCCACCCGAAGCTGGAAGAGGGGAGGGAGGATTCCCCCCCACCCCCTCCCCCTCCCCAGAGCCCTTGATGGGGGTGGGGCACTGTGGCCAATCTGATTTTGGACCAATTTTCTGTTTTAAACCACCTCCTTAGTGGTCGTTTGTTACGGCAGCTCTAGGAATGGCTGGTGGCACATCAGTTAACTAAGATCAAATAAAAATAAGAACTTTTTTTTTTAAAGATTTTATTTATTTATTTATTTGACAGAGAGTGAGCACAAGTAGGGGGAGCGGGCAGAGGGAGAGGGAGAAGCAGGCTCCTTGCTGAGCGGGGAGCCCGATGTGGGGCTCGATCCCAGGACCCCGGGATCATGACCTGAGCCGAAGGCAGACCCTTAACGACTGAGCCACCAGGCGTCCCCCAAAACAAGAACATTTATAAAAAAAAAAATAACAAAACTGCATGCAGTCTAAAAAAGAAAATTTATTCCCCTACCTCACAGTGATTAAAAGAGTAAGTAACCAGTAGACGAAGAGAAAGCCTTTGATGAAAGTCAACATCTAGTCAGGACACCAAAAACCAAACCCTTTCTTAATCTGGTAAGGCACCTTTTCTTCCTGGACTACACAGTAACGGTAAAAACTGCAATTCCTGTTCCAGGTCTGTGATGCATAGGCACATAAAATAAATGTGTGTGCTGCCCAAAAGTAATCAATACACCATCCTAGCACGGCATTAAGGAATATGGACTTTAAAACTGGGCTCTCCCCACTTACTAGCTCTGTGACTTTTGGTGGACTCTGCAACCTCTCTGTGTCCTGTGCTAGATCCTGAGCAGAGCAGTAAAACAAAGACAGCTTCTAGGGGAAGGCCATGTTCAGTGGCTCCTAGGTTAGCAGGGGCTGAACCAGAAAGAAAGACTAGAGGTGCAGCTGGGGTTCAGCAGCAGCCAAGGGGAGCCGAGGCTCCAGCAGCCAGAGCAGGGGAAGAAACAATGGGAGACAGGGGTGGGGAGAGCAGGAAGCAGACCGAGGGCAAGGGTGGGTGTGGCCAGGGAGAGCTGAGCAGGGGCAATCCTCACCCACCAGCACCCCCACCCCTCAGCAGTCTCCACCTGTATGTAAAGCATCTAAACTCATCCGTATAAAAAGCTTCAGCCTTTATTAAATAAAAAGGAGGTAGAAGACAAGTAAAGGAACAGGCCAGGTACCCCTCCTTCCAACCCCACATACACGGGCATACAAACAGACACAACTGACAGGGACAAGTCAGGGGACAGACTGAAGGGCGGAGGGAGGCAGCACCCTCCGGGAGTGGGCCCGGACCCAAGGGTGCGCAGAGACCTGGGCCAGGGGCAGCCGTTCTGAGGGGTTATGCTTGAGCAGCTTGGAGATGAGGTCCTGGGCTCCCGTGGGCACAGAGGCGGGGAACTTCAGGTCCACCTGCAGAAGTCAAGGAAGGACAAGGGCCCCCTTAGTTTTATCCTTGACCACCCCCATTCCATCTGGAGAATTCCACAGGGCCCGCCTGGCCTCTGCAGCCAGGCACCGAGGCCCGTGCTCCCACCTTGACGATGCGCCGATACGTCTCATTGTGGGAAGCGCTCTCAAAGGGTGGATTTCCCACCAGCAGCTCATAGCAGAGGACTCCGATGCACCACAGATCCACCTTCTCGTTGTGCGTGCGCCCTTCAATCATTTCTGGGGGCAGGTAGTCCAAGGTACCACACATCGTCTTCCTCCTGGGTGGGATGGCAGGGGAAAGGGCAGGGATCCCAGGTAAAGACCACCTGTCTTTTCCCTGCTGCCCGACAGGGAGCTGAGCGACCCCAGGATGAGCCAGGGGAGTATTTCAACCAGGCTCTGACAGGGCCCTTTGGGGCAGGAGTGGGGTAAAGATAGAGCCCAAAGCCCCAGGGGTAGAATCACATACTGCCCCAGCCTTTCCACCCGGAGGGATGTATCTTAAAATAATCAGATCTAAGGGCAATGCTCATCTTAGAATTAATGGGAAAACTGGGGCCCTCTCAAAAGTCCATCCGGCAGGTCCCGCTGAAATGGATCAGGTTGGGCGCCTGTGTTGGCTCAGTTGGTTGAGCATCTGCCTTCGGCTCGGGTCATGATCTCAGGGTCCTGGGTCGAGTCCCGTATCGGGCTCCCTGCTCAGTGGGGAGTCTGCTTCTCCCTTTCCCTCTGCCCTTCCCACCTGCTCATCTCTCTCTCACATAAATAAAATCTTGGGGAAAAAAATGGATCAGGTTCTATCTATGTACAATACTATGAAGCCATTACAAATGAGGTGGGAGTATTCTCAGTGACGCGACGAGTGGGTCCCAGTATATTCGGTAGGAAATCTGGGCAACAGAATTGGGGGTCTCCTATTTTTGTAAAGAGGTTGCCGTGTCTATAGGCACTTGAGGACAAACCCACACGTGTCCGGGGACCAAGATCTGGAGTCCTGTTACCCTGAACGTGCCTGCCATTCACACCCAGGCCCGGTCCCCTGGCCCACCGTACCTCAGGGATGGGGCATGCACAGACCAGCCAAAGTCAGCGATCTTCAGCTCTCCCTGGAGCCCCAAGAGCAGATTCTCCGGCTTTATGTCTCTGTGAATCACCTTCTTCCCATGGCAGTACATCAGAGCATCTGCCAGTTCTTCCATGATCTGGGAGGGCCAACGACAGGAGGTCAGGCAAGGCTGGACCTCCAGCTCCAAGCGGCAGACCCCCAGCCTCGGGCCCCTGCTGGTGCCCCAAAGCGCCCATCCGCCCGGACCGTGGCTGTTCGCTGCTCGTCAAAAGTGTGGCTCTTCTGCAGTTCCTTGTAGAGCTCCCCGCGGGGGGCGTACTCCAGAATCAAGTAGATCCTTCGCCGGTCATAGAAATAGTTGTAGAGACGCAGGATGTTGGGATGTCTGGAGGGGACAGGGGAGGACTCAGGTTGCATCCTGGCCGAAGGAAAAGGGAAAGATGACAGTGCCAGGTGGGGCAAAGTGGGGTCACATTTGGACCAGGCCGGAGACCGTGGGGCTGGCAGTGGTGAAGGGGAACTGGGGGCGGCCCTCTGGATTCAAGGTTCTGGCCGGGGCTGGGAGTTCCGTAGGGCCTTGACCGGGGCTGGGAGCTCAGTGGGCCAAGGGACCGCAGCAGGGCAGTCTGGATGGGCAGGGGGTAAAAGAGGAGCCGGGGGAGGAGCAGAGGGGCTGGGGTGGGCGGAGGGCAGGACTCATACTGCAGATGGGCCTGGATTTCGATCTCCCTGCGCAGTTGGTGCTCCACGCCCTCCTTTTCTATCTGAGACTTGAAGAGGACCTTGAGAGCAACAATGAAATGGCTTTTCTTCTCCCGAGCCAAGTACACGTTTCCAAACTTGCCTTTGCCCAGAGGACGCCCGATCTCAAAGTCGTCAATGGTGAAGGAGCGCCTGATGAGAGGTGGGGGGAAGGCAGGCGAGCGCCAGCCTGTGGGTCATCCGAGGGGGCGGCGTTCTCCCCTCTCCCTCAGCCCTGCCGGCCCTCAGCCCTGCTTCTCTCCCAGGGGAGTTGAGGACGGATCAGGCTTTCTTGCATGCACCCCTGCTCCTGCCCTGAGTGGCCGCCTCCCCCATGTCCTCCGTGTTTGCTCTCCCCCACCCTCCTGCCACCCCAAGGCTTGGGTACTCACGTTGAGAAGTTGAGTGTCCCACTGCTGTTCTCCACAACCTTCTGGCCAGGGGCAGCTAAGGAAACAACATGGGAATTGAGCCCCCCCCTCAACTTTGACATTTTCATCCTGGCACCCTCCCCATAGACTCTAGGCCCCTCAGCTCAATCCCCTCCCGTGTCCCAGTTACCTGTGGGCTGGGCATTGGAGCGGCTCATGAGGACAAGCGCAGATGGGGTGGCAGGGTCCTTCCGGAGGACTCTCTGGGGCAGGGTGTTCAGGCCAGGCTGAGTCTGAGAAGGAGCAGCAGTGGGGAGCTCTGAGGGTGCCTTTGTCCCAGGGAGCGAGTTGGAATGTGCTACAAGCAGCATTTCAATACTTGCTGTCAACCCACCCACCCAGCCAGCCAGCCACCCACCCCCTGTTCAAAGAGAAACATTGAGACCACAGTTTTGCTACTCAGCCCAAGGCTCTGCTTCTTGCTCCATATTAAAATGGGTTCTTCATAAGTGACCTAGGTTGGCCTAAGATAAGGAGCAAAGGACTCACCCCAACACCGAACATTTCACCTCCTTGGCCATGGCCCACACCACATTTTCAGGCACATAACTGCCTAACCTCTATGGTACCGTCCACAACCCCACACTCATTCACCCTGCCCTCCCCCACCCCAGTGGGGAGTAGAGGGCCAGTTAAAAAAGGAAAAAAAAATGCCCACAATTCAAGGGGTTTTAGCAGAAACATTCTCACAGTGCCCTAAAAACTTAGTCTAGGGGCACCTGGCTGGCTCAGTCGGTAGAACACGCAACTCTTGAACTCAGGGCTGTGAGTTCGAGCCCCGTGTTGGGTGTAGATATTACTTTAAAATCTTCGAAAAAAAAATTTGAAAAAAAAAGAAAAAAATTAAAAACTCATTCTATTAAGGTTTAGATAAGGTCCCGGAGGTCTTGAACGTTGCAACAAATTCCAGGGTTCACCCCTTTGCAACAAGAGGCTTTGGAGACACCGAGGGCTACTCTGATGGCCCCGGACCATTTCTCTCTTGCAGCTTCTCAGAGCAATATACACAACTTCCTTTCAGGAGTGACCACAATGGTTTCTCTTTCAGCCTCTGTTCTTGCCAGCCTCACTAAGTGCTCCGTGAGGGCAGGAGCTGGTGGACAAGGGGACAGATGGACACTTCAGGATACCCAAGTCCCACCAACAGGGAGCAAAGCCTGTGAGAGCCCCTTCCTTCTTCTTCGCCTAGGGAAGAAAGCCTCATGCCCTAAAAACCCATTCCCAAGCAGTGATATCACTACAGAATTTATAAGCAAGCAAGTTGGACAAAATAAGAGTCCAGAAATAGACCCACATAGAGGTGGGCATTTTATATAATAAAGGTGGCATTTCAAATCAGAGAGTAGACTGTCCACTAAAAGGTCTTAGGACAACTGGAAAATAAATCTATTTAGATCTTGATCTCACACCAGTCACTAAAACAAATTCCAAATTACAAATTTAACATGTCCTGAATCTTTTAAACTTATAAAAACCCTGTTCAGAGTCTCTCTCTACTTCCTGTCTAGCCTGTTTGTTCAGGACAAGGGTTGGGAATCATGGCCCAAAGGGCAAACCTGCCTGCTCAGTCCCAGGTATCATTTGTATATGTGACAAGTAGGCTCAACCCTGCAGGGGTCCTCATAGGCTGATCAGATTCAACTTGGCAGCACCTGATAGGATGTATTTGCAAATGCCCAGACCGGGTTCCGCCAGCAAACTCTTGGGACCCATTCGTTGGAGCAAAGCGGGGCAGACTCGGAGGGTCGCCCTCCGCACGACCTCAAATCCCCAGGTAGGAACTCTCCATGCGGGTGGGGGGAGGGGAAGTGGGAAAGCCCTTACCGTCTGCCGGCCGTAGGGCCAGGGGTAGGCGTTCTCCTTCTGGGCCATCCTTAGAGGGAAAGGGGGAGGAGAGCTGGGCACACAAGGGAAACAGGGCTGTAAGAAGCAGGAAAAAAAGAGAGAGCGAGAGAGGAGAAGGTCGGACGGATCGAGCCGGAAGCGCGGGTCTGGGGCTGCTGAAAGGGGCCTGATCAAGTCGCTGGCTCATCGGGGCGCACCCGGGCGCTCGTGTCGCCGCCCCCGCCCTACTCTTGCACACCCCCCTTTCAGGACCCTCCCTCTACCCTTGATCTCCCAGTAGCCCGGGGGGTGCGCGCGGGCCGCCCAACGGACCCCCGACCTGCCTGATCACCTGCCCTCTCCCAGCGCAAGACCCGCGAAAGGAAGCCAGCTCACCTGGAGCCCGTGGCACAGCCACCCCCCGGGCCGCGGGCAAACGACTGAACCTGCCGGGCCGGGCCCCCTCTGAGGCCCTTTCAAATCTCCCGCCCTGGCCCCATTGGCTGAGCGCGCTGCCCATGCCCAGTCCTCATTGGCTGGACTCCCCGTGACGTAGCCCGTGGGACCCAATGCAGGAGGCGGAATGCCAGACACCGCCCACTGGAGGTTCGGGCTTAGGAAAGTTTCCGGCATCCCCGAGTCCAATGTTCTCACATCTTCTTTCATTAATTTAAAATTTCCATCTATCAGGAATTTATCCTTCTGTGTGTATGCACCAGGGTTTTGTTCTCGACGGATGGAGAGTTCATTATGCCAGCACCGTTTGTTAAACAAACCACCTAGTTCCCAGCGGAATTTAAATGCTACCCTTACCCAAAGCAATCCACAGATTCCACGCAATCTCTATCAAAATTCCAATGGCAGTTTTTACAGAAATAGAAAAAAAAATAGCAAATTTGTATGGAGTCACAAAAGGACGCAAATAGCCAAAGCAATCTTGAGAAAGAACAAAGCCACGGGTATCACCCACCCTGGTTTCAAACCACATTACAAAGCTGTAGTAATTAAAACAGCCCGGTGTTGACATAAAAACTGCCACATAGATCAATGGAGCTGAATAGAGAGCCCAGAAATAAATCCACACATATATGGTCAACCAATTTATGGAAAAGGAGCCCAAAACACACAAGGGCGAGAGGGTAGTCTCTTCAAAAAATGGTGCTAGGAGAACTGGACAGCCACACCTGCAAAAGAATGAATCTGGACCACTATCTTACACTATACACAAAAATTAACTCAAAATGGATTAAAGACTTGAACATAAGACCTGAAACCGTAAAACTCCTAGAAGAAAACACAGGCTGCAGATTCCTTGGCATAGGTCTTCACAATATTTTTTAAAACCTGACACCAAAAGCAAAAGCAAGACCAAAAATAAACAAGTGGGGCTACATCAAACTAAAAACTTTTTTTTTAATTTTATTTATTCATTTGAGGCAGAGAGATACACACACACAGAGAGCATAAGCTGGGGAAGAGGCAAAGGGAGAAGTAGGCTCCCCGCTGAGCCAGGAGCACGGCGGGGTTGGGGGGGCTGCTTGGCGTGGGGCTTGGCGTGGGGCTCAGCATGGGGCTCGATCCCAGAATCCTGGGATCATGACCTGAGCCGAAGACAGACCCATCTGAGCCACCCAGGCACCCCCAAACTAAAAGCTTCTACACAGCAAAGAAAACCATCAACAAAATGAAAAGGCAACCTAGTGAATGGAAGAAAATATTTGCAAATCATATACCTGATAAGGGGCTAATATCCAAAATATCTGATGAACTCATACAACTTAATGGCAAAAAACAAACAATCTGATTTAAAAATGGGCTGAAGATTGGAATAGACATGTTTCCAAAGAAGACCTACAGATGGCCAACATGTACATGAAAGATGCTTACCATCATTAATCATCAGGGAAATGCAAATCGAAACCAGAATGAGATTTAGCCTCACACCTGTTAGAATGGCTGTCACCAAAAAGACAAGAAATAACAAGTTTGGGTCAGGAGGTAGAGAAAAGGGAGCCCTCGTACACTGTGGTGGGAATGCAAATTGGTGCAGCCATCATGGCAAACAGTATGGAGGGCCATCAAAAACTTAAAGACAGAGTGCCTGGGTGGTTCTGTCTGTTAAGTGTCTGCCTTCGGCTCAGGTCATGATCCCGGAGTCTTAGGATCGAGTCCCACATCGGGCTCCTGGCTCAGCAGGGAGTCTGCTTCTGCCTCTGACCCTCTCCCCTCTCATGCTGTTTCTCTCTTGCTCGCTCTCTAATAAATAAACAAAATCTTAAAACAAACAAACAAACAGGGCGCCTGGGTGGCTCAGTCGTTAAGCGTCTGCCTTCGGCTCAGGTCATGATCCCAGGGTCCTGGGATCGAGTCCCGCATCGGGCTCCCTGCTCTGCGGGGAGCCTGCTTCTCCCTCTCCCACTCCCCCTGCTTGTGTTCCTGCTCTCGCTGTCTCTCTCTCTGTCAAATAAATAAATAGAATCTAAAAAAAAAAAAACAAAAAAAACAAAAAAACAAACAAACAAACAAACAAACTTAAGGACAGAACTACCAAAGGATCCAGCAATTTCACTTCTGAGTATTTATCCAAAGGAAAGGAAAGCAAGGTTCAAAAAGGTATCTGCATCCCCATGTTCACTGCAGCATTATTTACAACAGCCAGGATATAGAAACAACCAAGTGTCTACAGATAGATGAAAGGATAAAGAAAATGAGGTGTGTGTGCGTGTGTGTGTGTGTGTGTGTGTGTGTACTGGAATATTATATTATTCTGCTATGAAAAAGAATGAAGTCTTGTCATTTGTGACAACACAGATGAGCCGGGAGGGTATTATGCTAAGTGAAGTAAGTCAGACAAAGACAAATACTGTATGATTTTTCTTATATGTGGAATCTAAAAACAACAAAGAAAAGCTCATGGATACAGAGAACAGATTAGGGGTTGCCAGAGGTGGTGGGGGTGGGGATGGAAGAAATGAGTGAAAGGGGGTCAAAATGTTAAAAAAAAAAAGAAAGAAAGAAATGCAACATTATGATACAGATGTAAATGTTAGTTGATTACAATTATATTGTTGAAAAATGTAAGCTGAAACATGTGTGTGGCATTATTTCTTCTAATATATTAGCAGGGAAAAAATGGAGGGAAAAAACTACTCTTGGGGCACCTGAGTGGCCCAGTCAGTTGAGCATATGACTCGTAACTTCCGCTCGGGTCAGGATCTTAAGTGGTGGGATCAAGACCCGCGTCGGGCTCTGCCCTCAGTGGGGAGTCTGCTTGGGATTCTCTCTCTCCCTCTGCCCCTCCCCCGCTCATTCTCTGTCTCTCTCTCTCTCTCTGTCAAATAAATAAATAAAATCTTAAAAAAAAAACAACAAACCAGGGGAGGGGGGTGGGGGGATGGGTTAGCCCCGTGATGGTTATTAAGGAGGGCACACACTGCATGAAGCACTGGGTATTATACGAAAACAATGAATCGTGGATCACTACATCAAAAGCTAATGATGTATGGTGACTAACATAACATCATAAAATTAAATGAAATTAAAAAAACTACTCTTGATATATTGTCATAGTAGATACTTGGATCTCCATATTTCTGGACTCTTTATTCCATTGTCTGCGTGTGTTTATTTTTGTGTCATTACTATTTTATTCTTTAAAGTCTTGCACTCACATCCGTAGCAGGAATTTTCCACCAGTGGACCTTTCTCTGCAGATCTCCCGAAGGTGGCTACATTGTTTGGACTGACCCTAACTCTTCTCCTTCCTGCCACGCTCCCTTCTCTGCTCTTTCCAAACACACATGTCATAATTGGGTTAATAAATACATTTGGGGGCCTTCTATGGAATAAGTAGTGGGTATTTGTAAGTATCGCCTGCCTAGCACCCTTCCTCTTTCTTCAAACAACACCCTAACTTTGCTTTAGGGAACCACCTGCACTGCCCCCACTTCTGGGTAGTCAGTTTCCATTGTAGTCTGTTTCTGTTTCTGCAGGCATCTAGAATTTTCTGGGTCTGAGAGGGAAGCTGACCCCATCTCAGGTCCAGGATTGGATGCTAACTGATTGACACCAGTCAACACTTTTTATTACGGGATCGTGGTCGTGGTTCAGGGATTAGCATGTGACCCCAGTGACTCCATGAATGGGAATTTTAGGGTTCTTGTCAAGAATGCTGGGCAGAAACTCCTTTTCTCCACAAAGCCCACCTTGCTGCTGGTGGTGGTGCTCCAGAAGGGAGCAGCCTGAGAAAGAGCTAGCTTTGTAGAAGGTCTGGGAAGAACCCAAGACCTTGATGGTGTTGTTCAGCCTCTCAACGCCTATTTTGCACTTTGGTTATAGGGACCAGTAGGTCTCTTCCCTAATGCATTGACTCAAGAGTTTAGTTATTCGCTGTCAAAAGCATACTAACTGACACACATCTACAGACCTAGAGGGTTCTTAGCCATAGAGTGTGAGTGAATGATGCAAAACTGCTGAGAGTCAATCACTTGATCTACAAAAATACCATTTTCATATGATTCAGCCAAATGTAGATCCAAGAAGTCCTTATGGGTTTCTCCATCGCTTCATAACACCTTTGGCTGCAAGTTACAGAAAACCCAGTCAGCAGTGGCACGAACAATAGGGATCTGTTTTCTCTTAGCAAGAAGTCAGCAGGTAGGCTGACTTTTGTTTTGTTAGAGATGTGGATTGGCCTTGCTGTGATTCTCTTGAGGTGTCCCTTAGGATTGCAAGATGGTCACCAATGGTCTCTGCCCCCTTTATTAGGATGAGTAGAAACCTTTCTAGAAGTACCCAATAGATTTCTCATTGGCCAAAAATGTGTCCCATGACTACTGCAAAGGAGACTGGTAAAGTGTCTTAGGGTCAGCCCAACCCTGCTTCCCAAGATCAGGGAGCCCATCACAACTGCAGCGCCTTCATCAACGTACTTGGCATGGAGAGACCAGCTAATGAAAAGCTTTGTAAAAATTCTATCACCTGCCGAGTACTTTATTCCTCATGATCTAGTGAAGGGAGATTTTTCTGGAATCTATCAGGGGACACAGTGCATGGGTGGGATATGCCCTGATAGATCCAATACAGTGTCCCTGTCCCCCACAGTCTTTAAATCCCCACTTGCCCATTATGCCAGAAGATATTTGGCCTTTCAGGAA